CAATTTCTCCAGGTTTAAAGAGAAAACATCCATCTCTACACCTGCAGTCCCAGGGCGAGCTCACTCTGGCATCAAGTTCCCTGGGGTGAGTTTATTCTAGAAGAGTCCAGGGGGAGGAAAGGAGTAGGAGGCAGGGAGTCCAGTTCAGGGAGACGGATTCCGGGGCGGGAAGTGAAGGGGGAGGGGCTGGGCCCAGCCTGGGGGTCTGTCCCTGGTTTCCTCAGACAGCTCCTGGGCAGGGACTCAGGGAGACAGGGTGACAAAGAGCGCTTGGTGCAGGAAAGGGGTCAGGGCAATATCGCAGGGCCCCCGGCGTGGCTCTCAGGGTGTCGGGGACGGGGAAGCTCAGAGTTGGGGATTCCCCATCTCCCCGGAGTTTCACTTCTCCCTGTCCCAACCCGTGTCAGGTCTTTCTTCCTGGATACTGCTGACGCGGCTCCAGTTCTCACTCCCATTGGGTGTAGGTTTCCAGAGAAGCCAATCAGCGTCGCCGCGGTTCCAGGTTGTAAAGTCCCCACGGACCTACCCGGACTCAGAGTCTCCTCAGACCCCGAGGATGGAGGTCACGGCGCCCCGAACGCTCCTCCTGCTGCTCTCGGGGGCCCTGGCCCTGACCGAGACTTGGGCGGGTGAGTGCGGGGTCGGGAGGGAAGCGGCGTTTGCGGGGAGGAGCGAGGGGACCGCCCGGCGGGGGCGCAGGACCCGGGCGCCGCGCGGGGAGGAGGGTCGGCCGGGTCTCAGCCCCTCCCCGCCCCCAGGCTCCCACTCCATGAGGTATTTCCACACCGCCGTGTCCCGGCCCGGCCGCGGGGCGCCTCCCACATCTCCTGTAGACGTCCCCGCTCTGCTCCCACAAGGAGGGGAGGAAAATGGGACCGACGCTAGAAGGTCGCCCTCCCTCTGGTCCAGAGCAGGAAGACGCCTCCTGGGTGTCCAGATCCTGTTCCAGGGAGTGACTCTGAGCACCCGCCCTTCCCTCCGGGACAATTAAGGGATGAGTCCCCAGGGAATGGAGGGGAAGACAGTCCCCGAAAGACCGATCCGCGGTTCCCTCTGACCCCGCAGCAGCCGTGGGCACCGTGACTTTTCCTCTCAGGCCGTGTTCGCTGCCTCACGCTCTGTGTTTGGGGTCTGGTTCCCGCCCTTCTGAGTCGCTGGCCTCCCTCAGGCCAGGACCGGAAATCCCCGTTCTCTCCGTCAGAGACTAGAACTTTCCAAGGAACAGGAGATTATCCCAGACCCCTGAGTCCAGGCTGGTGTCTGGATTTCGCACTCCCTCCCCCCGCCCCGTTTGTCCTGTCCATTCCCAGGTTGTCACATGAGCACTGCTGGAGTGTCTATGAGGGACGTAAAGTGCCTGAATTTTCTGACTCTTCCCCTCAGACCCCCCAAAGACACACGTGACCCGCCACCCCATCTCTGACCGTGAGGCCACCCTGAAGTGCTGGGCCCTGGGCTTCTACCCTGCGGAGATCACACTGACCTGGCAGCGGGATGGGGAGGACCAGACCCAGGACACGGAGCTTGCGGAGACCTGGCCTGCAGGGGACGGAACCTTCCAGAAGTGGGCGGCTGTGGTGGTGCGTTCTGGAGAGGAGCAGAGATACACGTGCCATGTGCAGCACGAGGGGCTGCTGGAGCCCCTCACCCTGCGATGGGGTAAGGATGGGATGGGGTGGTCACGTCTCTTCTCAGGGAAATCAGGGGCCCTTCTGGAGCCCTTCAGCAGGGTCAGGGCTGAGCCTGGGGCCAGGTCCCTCACCTTCCCGTCCTTTCCCAGAGCCGCCTTCCCAGCCCAGCGTCCCCATGGTGGGCATCGTTGCTGGCCTGGTCCTCCTTGGAGCTGTGCTCACTGGAGCTGTGGTCGTCGTTGTGATGTGGAGGAAGAAGAGCTCAGGTGGGGAAGGGGTGAGGGTGGGGTCTGGGTTTTCTTGTCCTAGTGGGGGTTTCACGCCCAGACAGAAGTGTGCCCTGCATCGTTCAGGGGCCATATTTGCTCCCACTTGCTCTATTGTAAAGGACATGGAAAGTGAAGAACAAATTTATCACCTTGACGATTGTGGTAATGGGGACCTGAATCTCAGAAGTCACCGGTCACAGGGACAGGTCCCTGCTGAGGACAGACCTCCAGGAGGGCAGTTGGTCCAGTCCCTCCTTTCCTCGTGTTTCTTAATCTTGGCCTAGATCTTCAGTCACAGTTCTGGAACCTGTTCTAAGACTAGGGGGATTTTCTAGGACCTCATGGCCCTGCCTCTTCTCTGGCCTCTCACAGGGCATTTTCTTCCCACAGGTGGAAAAGGAGGGAGCTATGCTCAGGCTGCCTGTAAGTATGGGGACTTATCCCTGCGACCTTTGGGATAGTGTAGACAGGAGCCCATGGGGGAGCTCCTGCACCTCATAATTCCTCCTTGTAGCCGCATCTCCTGTGGGCTCTGACCGGGTCCTGTTTTGTTCTACCCCAGGCAGTGACAGTGCCCAGGGCTCAGATGTGGCTCTCACGGCTTGTAATGGTGAGAGCCTGGGGGCCTGATACGGGAGGGGTGGGGCAGTGGGGACACAGCTGGGCTTCTGGGGAGTCTGTCATTGGGACATTTTGAGTGTGTGCCCTATTCAGAGTGTCACCACTTACTGTGACTGACCTGAATTTCTTCCTGATTGTTTTTTTCTGCAGTGTGAGACAGCTGCCCGTTGGGACTGAGCGATGCAGGATTTGTTCACGCCTCCCCTTTGTGGCTTCAGGAGCCTCTGACTTCTATATCTGCAAAGGCCTCTGAATGACTCTGCATCCCTGTTCCCATAATGTGATGGGGTGGAGAGACCAGCCCACACCTGTGTCCTGCCCACTCCTCCACACTGATCTGTGTCCTGTGCCGAATCATCTCTCCTGTTCCAGCGAGGAAGGGCTGGGACGTCTCCACCCCTGTCTCAACGTCATGGTGCACTGAGCTACTTCCCTACTGAAAATAAGAATTGAAGAGAGATTTGTTTTCTCAAATTCTTGCAATGAGAGGTTGATGAGTTAATTAAAGGAGTTTCCTAAACTTTGAGAGTGGAAATAAATGGAAGACCTGGAAACCTTCTAGAATCCTTGTGTTTGCTGTGCTGAGTCTGTTGCAGGTGGGGACAGGACAAGGCTGTGAGGAGCCCAGTATGGACTGGGCTGTGCCCAATCTGTGCTCAGTCCATCATGGGCTTTATGAGGTCACCCCTTGGCTGTGTCATCTTCACTGCTCTGTTGTCCTTGTCCCAGTAGAGCCTTGTCCACCAGGACCTGTGATGACAGAGGCTGAGATACCCCCAGGGCAGCCCCTGCACACAGGAGTCTCTGTGGTATCAAAAGATGAACTTTCAGACCCAGAAAGCTCTTGCCCTCCTAGGGCTCTTTCCTGGACTCTATTCTCCATCTGTTCCCCAGACTTTTTATTCCTTTTTTTATTTATTTTTAGTTTTTACAGATACATAATAATTGTTTATGTTTATGGGGTACATGTGATGTTTCAGTACAGGCATAAAATGTATAATGATCACATCTGGGTAATTAGACTCCCTCACCTCAAAGATTTATCATTTCTTTGTTTTGGGAACATACTAAATCTTCTCGTCTAGTTCATTTGAAATATACAGTAAATTATTGTTAACTACAATCACCCTGTTGCCCTACCGGACACTAGATCTTATTCCTTCTACCAAACTGTATTTTTATACTCAACCCAGCCTCCGGTAACCACCATTCTATTCACCACCTCTGTGAGGTCAGTTTTTTTTAGCTCCCACATGTGAGAGAGACACGCGATGTCTGTGTCTGGCTTATTTCTCTTGACACAACGTCCTCCAGTTCCATCCGTGTTGCTGCACCCAACCTTTTTACAGGAACCCAATTCTGGAATTAGCAGAGAGGAGGGATCCCACCACTCCTTAGCTCAGATAAATTCGTATTAGATTTCTATCTCGGCCCACCTACCCCTATCCCTGCTGCCCTTAGTTCTGGTAATCCTGTCGCTGGCTCAAATCCAAACTCAAGGATTTATAAAGTAGGCTCTAAGTTAGATGCATATTTGTGTGGAAAATTGGACCCACAGTCAAGGATGATGGTTATTCCTAGGGGAGAAATATCTCTGTGTGCTGCAGTGTGCAGGAAGGTTGTGTGGGAGGGAGAGAGGACACAATAGCACAGGTGACATTGATGTCAGTGTGTAAGGACAATGTCAGTGTGACAGGACCCTGCGCTGTGTCTGCCCCAAAACAGCACTTGCCCTGAGGCTACATTAATAAAGATCCTGTGTCTAGACTAGGGAGGTGCTTTACAGTGATTGTTCATTCAACTGTCATTGGTCGGCCAGATACAAGACAGACTGTTCCTGCACGTGAGGAACATCGTTAAAGTAAAAACAGAAATATTCCTGGCTTGTGCAGCATATGTTCCAGTGGGAAGAGACAGACTATGTTCTACGAGCAGAGCAAACAAGGAAAGTGTTTCTGTTAGAAGACGGTGAATGTTACAGGGGAACATGACCCAGAGTGTGGGGTGTGGGGACAGGCAAGGTGGCTGTGGCACTGGGGGGTCAGCGTGGCCCTTGTTGCAAAGAAGGGAAGCATGGACGCTCCGTGCTCTGAGGAAGGATTTGAAGGACACGATGAAGTATCTGCGAGGACGCTGGGGAAGTTCTTTCCAGGCAGGGGAAGCTCAGCGCAAACACACCGGGGCAGGAAGGCGTCTGTGCTGTGGGAGGAGCGAGGAGGCCGGGAGGCTGCACAGAGAGCAACTGAGACGAGGTCAGAGGTGGGGCTGGAGCAGGTGGGCCTGAGGGTGTGGGGAGGGCCTGACCTTCGCTCTGAGTGAGACGGGGACTTACAGGACAGTTCTGAGCAGAAGACGACATGGTGCCACTTCCCTTTTTAAAGGGTCTGTCTGGCTGCTGTGCTGAGAGCAGAACTGAGAGGTGGGAGGAGCGAGGAGTGGGGAACAGCGGGAAAGGAGGGCAGGTTCCACATTGCAGGTGGCGGCTGAGCAGCGGAAATCCAGGGAGGCGCTGGGTTCTGGATCCATTTTGAAGATGGATTTTACAGCGTCTCCTACTGCATCTAGGGTGTGAGAAGAGGCATCCGCGAGGACACGCACAGTGTGGGCTGTGTGAGCGGAAGGACGGAGCTGCCGTCGGTGGAGATGGGGACGACTGTGGCAGGGAGTGTTTAAGGAGGGGGCATCGCAGGCATTCAGTGGAGGAGGCGCCACCAGGAGTGCAGGGGAGGGAGCCAGGGTGGCAGCTGACAACAAGTTTGGACTTTAGGAGAAATGTCTGGGCTGGAGGAGTAGATTTCGGGGTGACACCATGTGATTGATATTTAAAGCCTCGAGTGGGGATGAGGTCGCCAAGGGAGTGGCTGGCTACAGCAGAGAAAGGGAACAAGGACTGAACCCTGGTCCTCCAGTGCTGAGGATCTGATCCGACCCCACGCCAGAGCAGACTGCACAGTTCCGACGCCACGTCGAGAAGGCCCGGAGACCAGGGAGTCCCAGAGTGCACCGTGTGCAGAGTCCCCTGGATGTGGCGCTGAGACATAGAAGGTCAGGAGTGGAGCGTGACGTCCCGTGTTAGTGACAAGGGTGGAGCTGGTGCTGCTGGTCTTCAGGTCACACGTCCGCAGCAAGAACACAGAGCAGGATCCCCACGTGTGCACTTAGCCCCCCTGCAGGGCTTGGTAAACACACGAGTCCTTGCTCTTGTGCGAAACACTCTGAGTGGGTGGTTCTGGGAGAGGCCTGAGTGTTGTCCAAGCGCCACCAGCAAGCCCGATGCCCAGTCAGACTGCAGCCCTGAGTCCAGTGACCAGAGAGTGCCCAGGGTGGGTCTTATACCCAATTAAATGTCCTCTTTTCCCTCAGGAAGAAAAGGAAGAACATACGTCATTAATTATGAGACATGATGTTGGGAGATTCGCATCATTCTCCCTACCGTGGGGTACAGCCAGGTAGAAGGTTCCGGTATCGGCTCTCAGCTCTGCATAGAGACCATCCCTGAATGCTGCTCTCTGACACTGTTCCCCAGACTCATTTCTCACTCACTTCTTGGAGCAAACAATGGAAGCCAAATTTTTCTAGTTTACGCATAAAGTCGTGTGTATGTAACTGGGGCTAATTTTATTGTAGGGAAGGCCACAAAGCCAGGCTTGTGGCTACACAGCCAGGAGCAGAATCCACAGTCCACCCTAGGTCAGGTCCTTTCGAAGAACCGCTGCCCCTGCTGCTGGGGACAGATGCCTCTGCTCACACCTCTGACACCCTGATGCTGGACACTGGGCCCTGAGGCAAGGACTGCTGTCACTGCTCACCACTGCCACTTGTCCATCTTTACCGAAATGTGTTCTGCGCAGTCCCAGCCTCTCTGTGTCACCTCGTCCTGGTCAGAGTCTGGCAGGTGGAGCCTCAGCCTCATGTCCATGTTCAATGCAGGGGTAATTGGAGAGTGTCCTTTCCTGTGGAGGGAGGCAGTTTCTGTCCCCTGTGAAGATTTTCAGTGTGCAATTTTGATATAGCGTGAGGGTGCAGGTGCCAGGAGGCGAGGGGTGGAAGAAGAGTGACAAACTCCCATCTTTGCAGCAGTGATGTGAGATTAGAGCTTCGTCTGGCACTTTGCAGGCTCTTGGTCGGCCGGATGAACAAGAGACTAGTAAACAACATTTTTCCATCCATTCCCTTGAGAGTATGATGTTACCTCCAGCTTTCGTCTGTACCCGTGTGCACTCTTCGTCATTGGGGTGGCATCGTGGTATTAGAAACGACCTACAGTGTCGTTAGAAAAGTAGTCAGACGCTGCAAACTGTCTGGGCAAGGCCCAACCTTTACTTCTGATCAGAAGGGCGCCAGTGGCAGTCAGAGCAGCCGCACTACAGGGGGGTCCTCACCTTTCATCCCCAACACAGACCTGTGGCTGTGTCTCGTCCCATTGGCCGGGATTTCCACCCACAGTCTTGTTCTTACCCGACTGGCTAAGGGGTGTTGCTAAGACACACAGGAAGAGGGGGTAGGGGCTCTCAGGGTAGTAGATGTTTAGAATCGGCGGGCTAGTCAGGCATAGTAAGGCGTGCGGAAGTGAGTTACTTCCTGACACTTTGGCAGAAAAGATCAAGCCAAGGTTATTTCCCCCTGCAATGGGATGGTGAAACAATTACTCAAAACATCTTCTTGACTAGGTGTCTTACTAGAGCAAAATGTTCAGGTCTGTAATACCTCAGAGGATCTGTGTGCTCTAACATTTTGTATTAACATTTATAATTTCTTGTGTATGGAAATATTTCTGGGGAGTGAATCTCTAACATTTCTCAGTTTTTATGTGACCCACAAGAGGCCTAAAAAGTAAGTC